ATTCTTCAGCATCATTAGATGCGGCTAATTTGACTTTTAGCGTACTGAGTGCCATTAGGAACACAATGGGTGGAGCAATAACAGTGTGGAGTATTGTACACTATAACTATGACTGTAATCTCCATTTTGGACTTACGACATTTTGAGGTTATGGAGAGGTTATTGTGACCTAAGTCCACCAACGAGAACTGAGGTGGGTATAAAATTGATGTCCAAACATTTTTTATGTGGTCATAAACATTTATATAAGTACTTTAGTAAAAGCTAGATTTTTCAACCTCTATTTTTTCCCCCCCAGAACAACCGAAATTTTCTGTGGGAAACAAAGCATGTCAGTTTCATTTATTTTTATCTTCATGTTAGGGAGTTTTACTTATTTTTTTAAAGCGAAACCGTTTCGCCTCATCGCTGCAGGCACGACCTTCTTTCCAAAATTCATTTTTTTTCCACGAACTTTTGAGACTTTTTAGGACGTCTTTTAAACGCTCTATTTCAGCTCATCCTAACATAGTTATTTCTTTCTGTTCTTCTCAGTCTTTGGTTTTGAGAGTTTAAAACACACAATTTGTTACAAAGAACACTGAAATTATTTATCATGTATCCAATTGGGGAAACGATTCTCAGGCTTTTTTCAGAACAATTCTTCTTTCTTGAGCACAGTAGAGGTCTTTCACAAAATTGGAAGAAATAAAATAGGTTTCTTTGTTCAGGTAAGCATATTTCGTGTAAAGCAGCTATAATGCTAAATTAAAAGCAGATTTTTAGTGTTTTTAGGCTGTGTATTAAGGTCAGAGAAAAGAAAAATACTCATAAATCTGCAACAAACTCGTTTTCTTATAATATTTTTAAAGCAATTGCTTTGTTCGTGTTCTACCTTCCTACGTTTACAAAACATTCCATGACTGAATATCTCTTGAACGATTAGTAGCAGATCCACGTGTTTCCAAATTAAGAAATGTATTCAATAAAATGAGCTCTCTGACTATAATAAGACTTTGGGTCACGTGACTGTTTTAGTAAATACGAAATTCGCATTTTTACCCAACCACATAGAGTTGAAAAAGTGTCAGGGAAAGAAATTATTCTTGCAAACTTAATAATCAAACAAACAGGGAAAAATTCAATTTGAAAGTTTCAATATGTAGTCTTATAAGGTATTTCTCCCGCCTTCTTAACTAGCCTTCGTGTCTGTATGCTCAGCGCATAATTGAGAGGTCCGCGGTTCGATTCCCGGCTAAGGCGTTGCTAAATTTTCATCTCTTCGCTTCGAAAAATAAACCTAATGTCTCTACAGTCTAACCATTAAAATTCACAAAATTTAAAAAAATGTATTTTACAATTTACGGTAGGGTACAAGAGCTGCCTTACCGAAGAAGGAGAAGGTTATGAGTTGATGTAGAGTGGAGTTGATGTAGAGTATGAGGTTATGAGTTGATGTAGAAATCAAGGTCTTCAAGATGCTATCTATGTACTATATGCTCCTAAAATGTCTGACGGTAGGGTAGAAGAGCTGCCTTACCGAAGAAGGAGGAAGTTATGAGTTAATGTTGAGTTGATGTAGAAATCAAGGTCTTCAAGGTGCTATCTATGTATATGCTTCTAAAATGTCTGACATCGTTTATCAGCTGATTCCACTACTTATAATTATCTTCAGTAATATTCAAATTAAAGCTTGGAATGTAATTCTGCAAAGTAGTTTTTTTCCGCAAATGAAAAATAAAATTTCGTAATTACTATTGAATGAAAACGTCTAATTCTTTCAAACACAAGCGATTTCTGGTAGTAAATCGGAATACTGCGTAACTGTCAAATTAGTACAGCCTAAACTCAAATGTTCTGCTCTTGCTTCAGAAGTGTTTCAAAATTCAATTTAGTTAACAAAATTTTCAAATTAGTTTTGAAAAATCAGATTTCAAAAGACAGAGAAATAAACCCACAAATAAAAATTAGCTAAAACTGCAGACAGTTTTTAATTGATTACTGGACCTTCAAATTAAATTCAGGGATAATGAGACAAGATAAATGAAGAGCCAATTATCGACTAAATGAACAAGTGTATTTTCCCAAAAATATGCAGGCCAGAAATAGAACGAAGAGATTGTGTAATCCATCAGGTGCAGAGGCGGTCTTAAGGTCGAGCAGACCCCTTAAAAACCCTCTCGTGACCTGCCCTAAATAAAAATATGCTTCATGGTTGGAATGTTGGGTTCCCTTCCAGGAGCCTCATGAAACGTCATCGACACCGTTAGCGAAACTATTTTACTTTTTCTTCGACTTCTCTTTTGCTCAGCTGTTGTAATTCCCCCCTTCTAGAATCGTGAAAAGGTATTGAAGATTGCGAAAATGTATTAATAACTGTAACAAGCGTAGATATTGTTTCAATTTTTATTGACGAATTGTGTGGTTTCTTGTTTGGTTCAGATTTTACTGACGATTGATTTCCAAATCGCCTAGAATGTTTTGTGTTATTTTTCTCGTTTCTTTAAATTGTATTAATGTTTTTTGACTGGAAATGCGGTAAAAAGTGTTAAAATGTTTATAGTAACCAGAAGGTAGTCCATCTTCAGACAGTTCGAAATTATGCACTAGCAAATTTTTGATGTTCGTGGGGGGGGGTGCATCTTATTATACTTAGTTGAATTAATTACTAAGGCGAATTATCTTATTAATACATTTCCTTTCATTTTTTAAGATATCCAGAGCAAATCATTCGAATATTTTCATCAATTTACATCGTAAATGTAAAAGCAAAGTATGGCAACAGTTACACATTGTGCGTCCACGGCGCACATAGTCGCCTTTTCTATTATAAGACTGTGAAAATTTAAAAGCGATTTTTCGCTTAAATTGTTGAAAGAATAAGTATTAATATTAAATAAATGTCTTTAAATCAATAAAGTGCGGAAGTTATTAAAGTATTAACTTCCTTTTAATTTTAATTGATAATCGTTATTTAACATTTAGCTTATTTATTCGATCAAATATCATAAAAAGCACGAGGGCTGTTATTATAATAGAGAAATAACTGAAGGGCTTTCTAAGGAAAACTGGTTCGGATTCATCTTAAAACTTCGGAACTGCAACTCGTTCATCAGAGTCCTGAACACGGATTGAACTTTAAACTATCATAATTCAACATTATCATTCAATCACTTATCAGCATCAGATAAAAAGGAACGGATAGAAAGAGAAAGAAGGCATAAATTAAAACAATTTAAAACAAAAACTTCGAGAATAAAACGGAAAAAAATACGTTAATATAAAAATAAAAAAATAAACAATAAAATTCGTGGCTTCCCAAGGAACAAAAAATAAAATCACAGTAACTAATGGGGAAGTTTTATCAGAACGCAAAGAAAAATTTTAAATTTAGGGGGAAAGGAAAAGGAATATATTATAAAACGATTTATAAAAGAAAAAATAAGAAGAAAAGGCAATCATCAGCATTAGACCAATAGAAATATGTCTTATAACATCAAAAATTGTGTGATAGAAAAAAAAAAAAAAACAAAAAAAAAAAAAAAAAAAAAAAAAAAGAAAAAAAAATTTGAAAAGATATTTTAATTAAAAAAATTAATAACTGAAATATGAAAGAAGTCGAATGTTCAAGAAGGAGACAGTTGGAAAGAAACATAATAACAGAAAGGCAAACTTGCTCAGGCTTTATAAAGGTAGAAATAAAAAATGGCAACTTAAATTTCGAAAAATAAAATTTCGGTTTAGATTTAAGAAAGAAAAAGAAATAAAAAACTAAAATTTGGGAAAAACAAATATGAGGCTAAAAGGAAAAAGCTTAAAGAGACTTGTTGAAAATCATTGTAAAAAACTGAAAATCATTTTTAAGAATCAATCAAATTGGGTTGGTTTATTTAATTACGGAAAAGCACAGTAGGGCTATCTGCCTAAGGGGAGGAATGCCTTCGTGGAGAACTTTCTAAAGGAAACTGGCTCGTATATATGTTACACATGGGGAAAACCACGAAAACGCCCATGCAGCCAGCCCGTTCACCGGGATTCGAATCTTGGACCGAACTACCAGTGTTTTGCGACGTTACCACTCGGCCGCTGGTGGGCTCGAGAATCAATCCAAAAGTAAGAAGTAAAAGTTAAAGTTCCATGTATAAAACTAAAGTTTCGAAATAATTGGAAATAGTTAAAAAGATTATTGACCCAATGCAATGTCCTGGAACTTTAGACAAAGGATAATAAAATGCATTTTTCAAAAAACAAACCAAAATTAGAATAGGAAGTCTAAACAGCTGTATAAAAGACTGTAAGAAGCAGTGAAATGGAAATAAACTTTACCTCCTAAGAGCTTTCAAGCTCGAATTTAAAGAACCATTTACAACTGTAGAGAAAAGTACAAAGTGACAAAACAAAAATTAAGTGGTTGTATTGTTCTAAAGATGCAAAGTTGAGTGGTGGATGTACTACTTTAGTAAAAATTAAAAATAATATTTATTTTGTAGTTAAAAAACAAAAACTTTAAATTAGGGCTGATTCAATTGTTTTTCATTTATATTAAAAGTGCATGAAACTAATTGAGAGGGGAAGTGGAAGGAAAGTCAAAAATGGAAGATATCAAATTAACAGCAAGAAGACAGTACTTTAATTGCAAGTGAGAATGGAAAATCGTAAGCTAAGAACAGGTGAAAATTTTTTCCTCGAGAGCTTGTGTCTGCAGAAGTAGAATTGGGCATATTTTAGTTTTATTTTTTAACATAAATAATAATAATAAAAGAGAAGAAACATAATGAATTTAGAAAAGATATAATTGTGGTCATTTAGACTTCTGATTGTGGACACATTTTGCTTTTACTCTTCTTCTATCACTGTCCTCTTTTCTGCAAAGAAGTTTTAAAGAAAAAACTTTTACTGGGCTGGACATGACCCCCTTTCCAATTTTCAGTAGGATCTACTCTCCGTACGCGCCAGTTGGCGAGGTTTGGCGTGTGTTACCCATTGCCTTGGCGAGAGCGGCATTTCGCTCCAGACGACGGACCTGTGAAGGCCACCACTTGTGATTGCATATCTGTACCGGTTGATTCGTGGAAGGACTTTTTTGTTTACTATTAATCTGATCATCATTTGGAACTTTTCTTTGCCATCTCCGCATCCTTGATCACATGCAGAGCAAACCGGGTTCTAACTCATTGTTCGAACAGACCTGAAGAGAGATTTTTCTTTAAAATAACGATCGGTTTCTTTTTTTAAAATAAAAATTTAATCAAGCACGTGTAGAAAGTATCTTATTACTTGTACCACCAATGAGTGACTGTTGAATTCGGACTTTGAACACATCACGTGGACGTCTTGTTTGCAAATTTTGTAAGGTAAGTGAAACACATCTTTCATTCCTATGTTAACGCTGCTGTTCTTTGTATTGGTCACGCCCACACATAGAATTTCTTTTGCATTTGAAGGTCGGGTAGATGTGTATTTATATCTATAGGCGAGTTCTGATAACGTCAACTACTGCCGTCTGTGGTTGTTAGAAATGTAGCTTATAGATTTGGCTATGCATCAAATGCATATTAATTTTTCTTCTATTCCTCAGTTATAGTTTGAGTCGTTATGCGACGGTGGAATTAATTTGTTGCCTCTGAAACGCGGCTTTTAAGTTAAAATTTTTAGTCAAGCGTTTTTAACTGATTATGACTTTTTAAATTGTTTTGTTAGTCCAAAGGGTTCATTTGCCCTGAAGGACTATTAATTTCGTTTTTTGGAATTTTGCTTCGAAAACTTTAAAAGGCTGTATCACTTTTCAAATCGTTGCCACCATATATTATCACCCTGTCTTATATTTAAAGAAATTAAATGATGAAGAATCTGCATAGATGTATGTATGTTTCTAGCATTGTGATAAAACAACGATACCTAGCGCCATCAAAATTTGAATAACGTAATCTTCCATAGAATATGGGTATGTGGAAGCCCTAATTTGAATTCGGAATTTTTTTTCTTATTGATTTCAGATTTTGTGAAACTTCCACAAATATTTGATTAAAAAAAACTAAACGATTTCAAATCGAGCAATGGCAACACTGTATTGAATTTTTTTATATATATATATATATCTCCAGCGCGCGAGACTATCGGAAATTCTAAAGGTGCAATTGTGATATTGTTGTTGAACTGAATTTTATAGTTTGAGTACGTAGAATATGATATTTAATAAATAAAGGTAACACACAAAACGTTAAAAAAACGTCCCTTTAGACGTAATTTAAAAATATGAAACATTTCAGATTTTTTTATGATTTATTTTATTCTTTTATCAGATACTAACTGAATGCGAAATTTTCATTTTTTTTCAACTCTTTCACTTTAAATGACCAGAAATTCTTCCAAAAGTACGAAGCTACTTATTGTTTACAGCCACACTGCCCCCTTTCTCCCCCACACGCGATTTTTTCTCATAAGCATACTAAAAACTGCATCCATTCTGGCAATTCTGAAAATTCTTACTTGTGTAAAGTATGTAGAAAATAAATATACTTTATTTATTTTTATTGATGACCTGATTGGTGAAATATGCACCAGCATCGTAAGATGCAAGGAGGGTGACAGAACCAGTGCAGGCACACCGGGCGGAAGAATACTGAGGCAGCAAAATTTTGACATTTAGAAAATTTCAGAACGGCAGTAATTAAAAGCCTCAAAGATTGCGCCGCCCGGCAAAAAACGTAGCGCCATCAGATGCATACGATGCAATAACGTGAAGTATGCTAAAAGGCTGGCTATCTGTAGATGTTTTTATGTGCGTTTCATGTTTAGAAAAATAAGTATATTCTATGATAAATTAATAATTACATATTGTTATTTTCATTATTATTTTCTGAATGTATTTTATTGGCATTTTTATGCAGCAGCTTAAATCTATATTAATCTGCCTAGCAATTAAATTAAGTATTACTAATTCTACCTTTCTATTAAAGTATGCCCTACAGTTGCAGCTAAAGACTCAGTGGCGGACCACTTAATTATAAACAAATAAATAAACATAGAATGAATTTTTGATAAGGAACATATTATTTTTTTGTTTAGTTTATAATATTAAGTTTTTCTGTTTTAATAAAATATTAAATAATTATTAATTATCAGAAATTCTGTTATATGAATTAGTTAACAGAAATTCAATTATATAAATTAAGTATTAAATTCATTAGAAATTAGGTAAATTTTTTTCTGCTATTCAGCCAGTTAATAACTGATTTTTTTAAATTTGATTATGGCAAAGCACACGAAGGCTATCTGCCGAAGGTGAGGGATGCCTTTGTGGAGGGATGTCTGAGCGAAATTGATTTGTTATCACGTTTCGTGGGGAAAACCACGAAAAAATCTGTTCAGCCAGCCTATTCGGCGGGATTCGAACCCGGATATAACTACCAGTGTTCTACGATTTCTTAATAACTTAATCATTATGTTTATTAATTTATATTTAAATCCTAACAGAAGAAATTATTTATTATAGAAAAACGTAAACTTTTTATTTGCAATTTTTTTTAATGTTTCCCAGAACATTTAATCATATGCATACATCTTGCCACTTGTAATTGATTGAAATTCAATGCGACATTTCTTATTATGTAAATGCCTGATTATTTCAGTTTCTTCCTTTTATAAATAAATGTATTAACATATATAAACTAGTGCATATAATTGAAATATTCTTTTAATATACGTTGATATTACTATATCACATCTAAGTGAAATACCAGCCGCCCTATCCCTAAGCTTAAAAAGATTTTTCAGAGGAGTATCTAAAAATACTTCTTACAAGTTAAAAGAATGTTAAGTCTGCAAATCGTGAAAGCATGGTTTAAAATGAACAAATAAACGTTATCAACAATAATGTTTTCATAAACGTAAATTTTATAGGCTTAAAATTTCATATTATATGTTTTTTAATTTATAAAAAGCGATCTGAAATTAAGAAATGAAAAGTAAGCACTTTCCCATATCCATTTCAGGTAACTGAATCTTAAAAGTTATTTCTTCAATGACGAATAATTGATTAAAGCAATACAAAAAGAATATTTAAATTTCAATGTTGGCAACACCTGAAACTTCAAGTTGTTTGAATTTCTGGCAGAAAAATAGAAAAATGATTTATCCTGATTTAATTTGATTAGATTTTGTCTTATCAAAAATGGTTGTGAAATTCTTTGGAAAGCATTTTCAGAATTTACTCGAATGTTTTTATCGATGGATAGCGACTATCAGTTATTTTAACCAAATCAGTTTTTTTAACGGGCTATTTGCTTTAAATAGCCCAAGAGGGATGTTATTCTCGAATGGGACATTAGTTTTGATACGACATTTTGCGGTAAATCACTAAAAATAGTCGGCGAGAGCGTAAAAAAACCTTAACAAACCTTTTTGGGCTGTCTTAATATCTAATACCTTTCAGATATTTTTTCCTTTTATTATTTTAATTTTTTTAATCAATTAGTATTTTGTGTGGGCAGGGGGGAATTAATTTGGGCACATTCAGGGCATCCATAGGAAACTGAGTTCTAATTGAGAATTATTATTAGTCAAAAAAATTTTAATGGGGGGGGGTTTAATGGGGGGGGGGTGAAATGCATTTAGATTTCATTTGTAGGAGTTATTAAATATATATATAAATGCTGTTTTACAAACTATCAATAATAAATTAAGGGAATTACTTTTGCTTAGTATTTAGATCCGCCTCTGTATATGTATGCATCTTCATGTATAGCAGAATTTGAAGTCAATTTTTTAATTAAGTCTTCCAGAGGCATTTTTTCTTAATAACTTATAATCAGTTATAACAGTTATTTTGCATAGTTTTCCCGCGATTGCCTCGAAGGCTGTAAGCCACGCAGCATTGGTAGCTAACCCTAAGTTTGATTCCTGTCGGCTGAAAGACGGCTACATGGGCTTTAATTTTATTCCCGTATAATTTAAATATAATATGAGCTATTTTTCCTTAGAAAATTCTCTCAGAAGGCATTTCCTCCTCAAGGCTAGTAACCATCACTTATTTTTGGCATTCAATTAATTAATTACCGCTTAACCGTCCAATTATGACTTTTGTCAGCTCAAAAAAATTGAAATGCAATTAAGATGAAATGAGGTGAAAAAAGATTTTAATTCATGCCTGAAAAATAATACTGAATTTACTGAAATGATGGTAAAAAATGATATTCTTACGTTTAGTAAGGGGAACATTATTTTAAAGCAATTAATTCTAATGTACTGTGGATCAATATAGAATATGTTTTGTCAAAAAATTCCATCGAAACAAAAAAACCGTTAGTTTTAGAGAAAAAAGAAACTCGTTTTATGAGCAATTACTTGTATGCTTATGTAGCATACTAATCAAGCAGAAAGCTGGAATTTATATATATATATATATCTTGCTAGGTAAAGATTATGTTAATGCCCTTTGCTTATCTCGGACATGGTGTAGTCCTTGGTTTCGGAAGTCCTTGGGAGAGTGAGTCTTAGCTTTTAAAAACCTGAATGGGTAGTAGTCACAAATTAATCTCGCGAAGCAAGGAAGGGGGTTGTTACTGAATGCACTGCAATTAAACCAAGTCCTTGGGAGACAAAATGAATAACTAGAAACATACGAACAAATCATTGGAAACAAATTTACAAATTTCCAAAAGAACTAACCATTAAATGAGTATAATTATCTTTAAAAAAAATATTCTTTTTCTGTGTAGTGTCCAGTTACCTGATACAAATTTATGTGAAGAAAATTTTGAATTTTGATGTTAGTTTTTAAATGATAGTTATTGCATAGTTATTAAAGTATAATAATAATAAGCTGGATGTCTAATTTTATTTGTATTGAAAAGTAAAATTTTAAACTAAGATTTTTTTATTCCCAGTATATTTTAAACTTATTAAAACTAGAAACACAGCATAAATGTTTTTAAAACAGTTCGAGCAGTGCTATTTTCTTATCGCGTGTATTTCTTTTTTTCCGACGTGTTTTTCCATGCAAAAGTGCATTTCAAATTTTCATAAGAGAATGAAATTTGTAGAGTCCTGTAAAACAGACAAAATACTTTGATATTGATATGTAAGTTTACGTGTTTTCGATTTTCCGCTTTAGAATTTCACTTTCTACGCATTGAACCTTAACGCACCGTCAGAGGCCTATTTTCTTATGAGCTTATTACGGCCCACAAGGCCAATAAGCATACCTATAATGTAGTAACGTATCAACATAGTAAGTTTATAAAAATGATTCTATTATATCAAAGCATGTTGTACTGTATGAGCCGCTTGGAAAGATTAAATTCCTAGATCTTACGGATTTCCAGATTTTTGGACGGGGCGTCGGTCATTGCAG